AATATAAGATATTTTGATTGTTCAGTGATAGTCATCCAAGAAAACTGTTGGGTGTCAACTTATAATGAACTCACCAGAGCTTATTGACAAACGGACTTCTGAAGCCTTTCACAACACGCAAAAATAGAATCTCAAAAGGTGACGTTATAAACGCACATAAATTTGCATGTGGTATTCTCAAAAGTATGTCGTAGATACGCTGGAAGTAGCTACAGAACCAATCAAATTATTTCGTTCAGATGCTCAATCGGATGCAAATGATCAGTCAGCGATCATAGCTAAAATACTGCAGAATCCTAATTAATATGAAGGAAGTCGCTTGAGCCATTAGAAAACTGATGATTCGTCGACAACCATCTACGTATTGAGATACAAACATCAGAAGCAAATTAACTACATTAACTGTATTATCTGCACTATCTTCTAATTAACTATATTCTCAGGCTTGCACAGGATCGAATTGATTTCTTAACTTTGTCCGATTCATTAATTCTCTGATTTCGGAAGTGAATGTATGCTATCGGTCAACACTACTTATATTCTGTGCAGGCAAACCAGGAGAAGGGTTCCGTCCCGGATTTCGCGCATAAAACTCTTTATGAAAATTATATTTTCATTCATGTTTTCCTTTGGTTAGAAGTGAAATGATCAGAAATGTCTCAGAATAATTCCTCGATTGTCTTGTTCAAACAGTATCTGAACCAGTAATGCTGAGAAATCCAACGATGACGTTCCCAAATAACAATCATGTGGCGTGAACGGAATTTATATTCCGCATTAAATTTTTGACGTTTTCCTGACGGATTTCAATGGACTTTTCGTACCCCTGCGAATAATAAAATCGTTGGACTTTTATGCGCTAATGGATTCCAGCTCTGTAAAAGTATTTCGCTTATCGTCATTTTGGTATCGCAATTCACCGAAAACCTCATTTATGATATTAATTTATTCCTCACATACGATAATTCTCGTTGAAAATTTCATAAATTCATCAATCAGCTATCTTTATGATTTCGAAATGAAATTACAAAAATCATGCATCACTCCAGCTGGTCTATATAATGTTCTTCAAACGAGGTATGAAACATTCTCGAAACCCCGTCCTGTTGAAAGGTATCTATCGTTAGTCTGTCGTGACGTTTTGATACCAGATTGTTCTCATCGAACCTTGTGACACCTATATTGTTGCTAAATCATTCTGCTTGATAAGCACTGCTCGTATCTGGCAGTACTTTAGGGCTATCTTTATCCGGTTATTTCTTGCAGTGAGAAGAACGCATTTGGTTGACAGATTCGGACTTGCTGAACTGAACAACTGATGCCCTCGTTTGGAAACATGCTGAAGTTGTTCATGTAGGCTGCAGTACTCATTTCAGTTCAGAATCATACAGGCCAACAACTGTTTCTATTGATTATTGTTACATCATCAAATTTCGAACAAATTCATCGAGCATTTTCACGCTCGTTCCCAAGTTTGCAAGTTTTTTAAAGTGTTAAATTGCAGCTTCGAGATGAAGTCCAACAAACTATGCTTGTTTTTGGTTCACGTGTAGCTAATCTTCCAACACTTGATTAATCTCGATATTTCCACTGCGACACGTTGAGCTTCATAAACAACTTGAATTGTTGCAGTTTCTCATTTGCAACGTTATATCACATCGCATCGTGCTTACAAATTTCGGAAGGTTGGAGCGGGTCATTCTCTTGCGTAATAAAGGTGTGGATTCAAGGGTTCTGAATTTATTGGCGAATGAATTTTTCCAAGAAAGACTCGTTTCTGATAGTCTTGTCAGCTCCACTTAAATTTTCGCTTCCCACTGCAATTTATTGCATGTTTCTGAGCATTTCGCGTCAGTCACCCTCCTGTGAACCGTTGTCTCTGTGCGACAACGGTTCACAGGAGAGTGATCCAAACGGATACTAATCCAGAAGCATTCCCGTTTACTAACAACATGATTATTAGGCTCATTGTTTCCAGTAATTATCCTCAGCACAAGTTTTACTTCAAATTCATTTTCATTAATTCCATTAATTACTTCCGAATTTACACGGTATGATCGTTGAGAATGATCGAAAGGTTGATCAGACATGATTATCAGGGTAATGAAGTTTACTTGGCCGACTTGCCGTGGGGAACACTTGGCGTCGATCAGAAGGAAGAAGCAGCCGAATACTTTAAAAGATATATCGAATGCACAAACGTTATTACTTGATTGATTTCAACTTTGAACCCTGAAACTCTTGAAAAGCTGAAAATATGAGTGTTTTCCGCTCATATTTATCAAAGCTATGTTGGAGACTCAATGATATCGAAATGGTTTTTAAATTCTCAGTTAAAATTCACTTGAATGCGGTTATCTGACAACGCGATGTTTTAAGAGGAATGATTTTAGAAAGGAAATCAGTCTCGTGAATGCATGAAGCCACCGGCATTCTGCGGTCCAGAAACTTCACATATCACTTATTACTTGCTTGCTGATTGCAAAATTTTGGTCAGTCGCTTTCCCTCTATATTTCTTTTGCTCATTCTTTGATCTCACAGTTCGGCTCATATCAAATTATTCTCAGTAGTGGTAGTCATTCTTGGTGCAATTCTTCGTCAGTTGAGGTGAACGGGGAATATGAATGTTTATGCTAACAAACCGATGCGACATCTGAAGTCGTACTTTTTTACAATTTGTCTCTCACTTCGAGCCACAACATGAATAGATAGATTTCAAGGCGTAATTCAACTTTGCCGGATAAGAGCTCATCGAACTGCTTTCAGAATAACAAGATTTACATCCATGGCAAATTCATTCAAGATTGGACGGAACAGAACGAAAAAGAGCTAAAAGCATGGGAAAGCATGCGGGAGAAGAGGTCACACAGGCGAGGAAAAGGGGACTTAATCCTGCAGTTACTCCGAGTTAGTTGAGAACTTCCATAGAACAGCATACTATTCAGATGGTTGGATGCTTATATGAATCAAAGGCGATGCCGAAATTTCGAGTGAGCCTCACGCAGTGAGCGAATAAGTTCGTATCGAAATTTTTATCGACGAAATCATGAGGTCAAGCACTGAATGCAGATGCAACGAAAGCTAATGGAGTAAGCAATGTGGGAACTGAATCGTTTGGATAATAGAAATCATGCTGGTTTTATTCCATCCACAATATATGAACATTGACAAAACGTAGAGTAGGTGCAACAATAACATTGGCAACAGCAGCCGTGACAGACAGCAAAAATAATTATTAGATCAGTCAACAAATGAAAAAGTAATCCACGAAAGGATATGAGTCACTTCTAAATACCCCCTTTCACTCATTCACTGATAATAATGTGGAACAGGAGATGTATTAGCCAATAATTCAGTCAGCTTGGAACAATATGAGATGAGATGAAGAATTAAAAAAAAACAACCAATATTCGTAAGAATGATAACGAATCCAACGATAGAAATGAGAATAATGGTAATATTGATATTGACAAAGTTGATGATGATAACAACATTAATAAACGGGATAATAATTGCGGTAATGACAAAATTTCGACGGCTTATCCCGAGTAGTTTTTGAAATTTGTTCGATTTTTAGCTCCCGTATGATTTCAATTACGACGATTACGAGGACGAGCCATTCATCGCCGACCCAGGGGACCTATCTGCCCCCGCATTCTGCCTCAGAGAATAACGCAATTTAAATTAATGTAACCTTCCGGACGATCGGTGATTCTCACGATCGATAATCAAATATAATATCACAGTTTCAAAATAATAAATTGTTTTCATTTGCGTACAATTTCCTGTTTGGCTGCATAAAGTTTCTCGTCAACACACAATACTCCAGACACCCATTTAATGCTCAAATTCTTTGGTGATTCAATTGTTCCTATGAAACTGATATTGATCGAAGCCACTAGCGAGAGGTTGGGTTCACACCGACACAAAAGTTAGAGTTTGGGAACATTACAGTTGCGAACGAAAGGTAAAATTTGGGAACGGATCACCAGAGATTACAATAGGATAGGGACGCATTGGGAACAGAAGATTTCCAGAATTCTTTTCATTGAAAAGATTCTCAACAATACGCAAAGTTGAAGTGATTCTGAGGAGTTTAATTTACTACTCATCAACAAAAGCAGTAAGCATTCGCGCAACCGGCCTTATGGTTGTCAACATGTTAAAACTATTTTAACACTCAGTTACTATCTGCAAAATTGTGACATCTTGAAGCTATCAGGTATTGCAGAAGAGGCTACGAAACCAGCAGGGAGAGGCCAATAGCTAGATCTAATGATAAAAGAAAATCCTTACAGCTTCATCTGGATAGCTGAAGTAATCCAACGTGGACTGAGCTAACATTTCTGAGAAAACATCTTTCAACTAACAATAAGGTCATTTCGATCTAACCGGCTCTACATCGAACTCCTCTCTATTGACGTATTAGATCATAAGAGAGGATGACTCAGAGGATAGTTCAAAAGCTTGCCAGATTAAGCTGTATGGATAATGCGAAATTGCTAATTATATGAACGTATCCCCAGCAAATGAGCAGCGATTGCTTCGAAACATTGTATCTCTAATGATCGATGTGCACATTACTATAGTAGCAATAGCTTCACCATCTGCAAATCACCGGTGTCCTCAGGTGTGCCCAGTAACATCGGTATTTCTTCAAATCATTAGATTCAACTCGGCAGCGCTCAATTCAATGAGTTGTATCACAAATGATGAAGCTACCTCAACTAGAGCCGTGGTGCTCATTGGAATGCATTGTATCACTATAGATGAATAGATATCACACATTACAATAGAAGTATGGTTTTGATATATTCAAGCCAATCGTCTTCTAGGGTTTGCCGAGCAACGTATTGATGTTTGAACATCATTCGAACGAACAGAATCTCGGCTTTCTAAAAATTGAAATTTCGGCGAAAAATTCTGCCTCTACGAGGAGATATAGCAATTTTTGTAATGCTATAGGGGTTGCCTACCGTTCCCTCAGCTTTGACCAGTAACATATCAATTTCTTCACACCAGTGGATCGAACAGAATCTGTGGATCAGAAAAATATATATGTTGTCGGGCGATTCTGCTTGGTTGAGGTTCTATAGCTATTTATTTAAAGCTATCTCAACTAGAGCCGTGGTGCTCATTGGAATGCATTGTACCACTACAGATCAATAGATAATATACATTGCTGTGAAATATAGCTTTGATATATTCAAGACAACCGTCTTCTCAGGTTTGCCCAGCAACGTATTGATGTTTGAACATCGTTCAAACCAGCAGAACCTCGGATTTCTATAAATGAAAACAACACCGAAAAATTCCGCCCCTACGAGGAGATATAGCAATTTTTGTAACGCTATAGGGGTTGCCACATTCAAGCCTACCGTACCCTCAGCTTTGACCAGTAACATATCAAT